GCCTGTCATCCCAGCTACCAGGGAGACTGAGGCAGGAGAATCAGCCTGAACCTGGCAGGCACAGGTTGCAGTGAGCTGAGATCACGCCACTGCACTCTAGCCTGGATGACAGAATGAGACTGCCTCAAAAATAAAATTAAAATTAAAAATAATAATAATAATAAGGCTGAGTGTGGTGGCTCATGCCTATAATTCTAGCACTTTGGGAGGCCGAGGCGGGTGGATCACCCGAGGTCAGGAGTTTGAGACCAGCCTGACTAACAAGATGAAACCCTGTCTCTAAAAATACATAAAATCTGACAAAATCGATAGCCATGGTCGGTGGCTGGGCAAAATGCCTGTAATCCCAGCTACTTGGGAGGCTGAGGCAGGAGAATCGCTTGAACCCAGGAGGCGCAGGTTGCAGTGAGCCAAGATCGCACCACTGCAACCTACGCTCCAGCCTGGGTAATAAGAGCGAACCTCTATTTCAAAATAATAATAATAATAACAACAACAACAATAAAAAGGAGTCTGGGGATTGGAAGGAGTCCGGGGTGCTCTATATCAGGAACCCCCCCCCACCAAATCTTTAATAAGGGACACAGTGTGGAATGCTTCCAACACTTTAAAAATTTTATTTATTTAATTTATACCTACAGTCTCATTATGTTGCTCAGGCTGGTCTTGAACTCCTGGCCTTGAGTAATTTTCCTGCTTCAGCCTTCCTAGTAGCTGGGATTACAGGTGCGAGCCACTGCACCTGGCTCCTTCAAACACTTTAAAAGGAAGCTCAGGTAAATGTGAGAAGAGGGTCCATTGTTTCTCCCTCACTGCATTAATGTCCAAGCTCTTTTAACCCATCCTTAATAATAACTTCTTCCCTCTATGTGACTAAGGCCTCAGGACATGGGCTGTGCTCTGGCTTCGGTGCCCAGCCTACGTCCCCCCTCTTCCCAGCACCGCCTCTTTCATGTCCAAAGACTTGGGAGCTGCTCCAAGGTAAGCTTCCCAGGCACAGATCTTGTTTGCTTAACCAAACAGGGTGCCATTAACACCTGCAGCCCTACCTGCTCACCTCGGATTCACCTTATCCAGGTACGAGTCTTTGGCATAACTGCCACCCAAGCCTGTATGTAGGCTTCAGAGTCAAACATGCAACACGGAGCTGGGAATGTGGAGATCGATAAGGGAAAGTTTCTTTCTGATCCACTCAAAGGTTCTGCTGGCTAATGGGTTGTTTATGGTGTTGCTGGATATTTCTAAGACTCCAAAGACTCAAATATTCATACATGACACTCCCTTCAGCAAAATTCTCTTAAGTACTCCGGACAGCTAACCTCAGCAGAGCCTCAGTGTACAAATGGTTAATGACCATGGAAAGCAAACTGGAGGCCGGGTGAGGTGACTCATGCCTATAATCCCAGCAGTTTGGGAGGCTGAGGTGGGAGGATTGCTTGAACCCAGGAGTCTGAGGCCAGCCTGGGCAATACAGAGAGACCCTGCCTCTACAAAAAAATCAAAAACTTAGCAGGGTATGGGGGCACGTGCCTATAGTCCCAGCTACTTGCAAGGCTGAGGCAGGAGGATCACTTGAGCCCAGGAGTTTGAGACTGCAGTGAGCTATGTTCATGTTACTGTACTCCAGCCTGGGTGACACAGTGAGACCCTGTCTCAGGAAAAAAAAAAAAAAAAAAAGGAAAGCAAACTGCAGTCACAGGAACGGAGATAGCGCAACCCAACTCTGCTTCTTTCCCTCCAGGGACGATCACTTGATGGCCATTCCCAGCAGGAGTGACTGGTGGGCACTTACTCCAGTGGTTTTTCCTGAGAAGCTGACAGTCCCTATAAGTAAGCAGGTGCAGACAGCCATACAGACACTCTATCAAAAGCCTGACTCTCCACACCATGATTTAGAGACAGATGCTGAGCCCAACCTCAAGGTTTACCTGGATGGAGTCATCATTTTTTTTTTTTTTTCCGCCAGACTCCAGAGATCTGAAAGGTGAGGGAAGTTACGTTCCACTAATTCCTGAGTACTCAGAGTGTGGTATATGCACCAATCACTGAGAGCTAGTTAGAAATGATGAATCTAGGCTGGGCATGGTGACTCATGCCTGTAATCCCAGCACTCTGGAAGGCCGAGGCAGGCAGATCACTTGAGGTCAGGAGTTTGAGACCAGCCTGGCCAACACGGTGAAATCCCCGTCTCTGCCAAAAAATACAAAAATTAGCTGGGCATGAGTGGCGTGTGCCTGTTGTCCCAGCTATTGGGGAGGCTGAGGTGGGAGGATCGCTTGACCCCGGGAGGTGGAGGTTGCTGTGAGCTGAGATCATGCCATTGCACTCCAGCCTAGGTGACAGAGTGAGACCCTTCTCAAAAAAAAAAAAAAAAAAGAAAGAAAGAAAAAAGAAAGAAATGCTGAATCTAGTCCCCACCCCCACCTACAGAATCAGAATATGCACTTAAATGAAGCCCCCAGTTATCCTCAAGCACCTGGAAGGTTGAGACGCAGTATTCTGCTCTGGAGCAAAAGGGTCCTGCGATGTGACCATTTCAGCTTCTCTGCCCTAGCAGAGGTGGGCTGAGGTGGGCTTTGGAGGAAGAGTTCACACCTTGGCTAATCGAGGCCGACCAGGCTTGCTTGACTTTAGTGGAAGTAAGCCGGGTTTCCCTGGCTTAGGGACTGTGAGCTGTACCTGGATGACCCAAAGAGTGAGCTGGCTTTAGGCTCCTGGCACTGCTAGCTTCTTCCAGTGATCTCAGAAACATGCTATGCCCTGATGCAGAAGCCCCTTCCCCACTCCCCCTACTGTTAAAGACCTTCGGCCGGGCGCGGTGGCTCAAGCCTGTAATCCCAGCACTTTGGGAGGCCGAGACGGGCGGATCACGAGGTCAGGAGATCGAGACCATCCTGGGTAACACAGTGAAACCCCGTCTCTACTAAAAATACAAAAACTTAGCCGGGCGAGGTGGCAGGCGCCTGTAGTCCCAGCTACTCGGGAGGCTGAGGCAGGAGAATGGCGTGAACCCGGGAGGCGGAGCTTGCAGTGAGCTGAGATCCGGCCACTGCACTCCAGCCTGGGTGACAGAGCGAGACTCCGTCTCAAAAAAAAAAAAAAAAAAAAAAAAAAAAAAAAAAGACCTTCAAAAGGAGGGGGATTTGCTGTGGTCTGTCAGCCCCCTGCCTACTCCCCACTTCCCAACCCAAAGTGAAAAGTGGATTCAAAGTTCATATATTTTATGTTTATTATTTATTTTAGAGACAGGGTCTCGCTCTGTCACCCAGGCTGGAATGCAGTGGTCAATCATAGCTCACTACAGCCTCCAACTCCTGGGCTCAAGCCTCTGTAATAGCTAGGACATCTTTTTTTTTTTTTTTTGTAGAGATGGAGTCTCACTATGTTGCCCAGGCTGGTCTTGAACTCCTGGCCTCAAGCAATTCTCCTGCCTCGACTCCCCAAAATGCTGAGATTACAGGTGTGAACCTTGGTACCCGTGCCAGAAGTGCCTATAAACAGTATCTGTGGCTTCCAATTTGACCCAACAATCCAGCAATAAAAGGCGCAAAAAAGGGCTACCTGTGCCTTCAGGCCAGCCTCAGGGCCCACCCTGAACAAATCCAGCAGACACTTACACCCTCAGTTGAAAGAAGTCCAAAATTGTCAGGAATTGTCCTGGTAGACCATTGTGACAGGGACAAAGGAGAACAGCATGAACTACAAAAGACCCAGCAAGGGAAAGAGGATGAGTCGGGAGTGGCAATAAGAGCCCCTGCGAGCTTTTCCTTGGCTCATTTCTAATAGAAAACGAAGCATTCCTCCCTTCTCTGCCTGGTTGCTATTTCTTGTCCAATCTGGGAAAACGGTGTGACAATGGGCAATAGACACGTGTTCAAGCTCTGGGGCCTCAATGCCCGGCTCTGTAGAATAAGGCGGCAGGGCTGGACAAGATCCCTAACCGTTCTAACAGTGTATGTTTTGGATCAAATAGCTGAGGACCTCGGATCCGGCCGTGCATGCTGCTGGTAGGACAGCTGCCTGAGAAAATAAGCATGTGGCCCCTGCCCGCCACCGAGTGAAGCGCCAGGATCTGTCGCGTTTTCGAGTAGTTTGGAAAGCAGCGTGGAGGAGATTGAAGGGAGAGAAGTCAAAGGGGTGGGGGCAGTACGAGGATGGGAGGGGAGTGGAGAGCCACGAGGATTTGTTTCATCATGCAAACAGGCGCGTAGGTTTCATCAGCGTCTGTGCGCTGGGGTTGCGGGGCTGGGAGGGAATGCCAGGCTCCTGAGGGCAGCCTGAGGCTGCCCCCCCACCCCCGCACCCGTGCCAGCTCAGCTTCCTCTTCCTCATCCTCTCCCAGGGAGGTCACACGGTGCCTCCTCCTCTCCCCGGACAGAAGAACGTGTTTTTCTGCACAGCCCTGCCCGTGGCGCCAGGCCCCCCCGCGGAGATCCCACTCGCGAAAATGGGGAACGTGCCACAGGTGCCCGGGAGGCTCTGCTGGAGCAGGAGAGCACCCCCACATCCAAACCTCCGTCAGAGCGCGCGTGTCCAACGCAAAACTAGGGGTGCTTCGGAAAGGAAAAAGGGCCCTGCAGGAATCATTTATCCCAACAGATAATACCCATCCCATAAAAACACCAGGCCAGGCCTCTCCTGGATCGTGGGCCACCCTGACTCCGCCCTATCCTGCCTCGGGAGCGCCCCCAACACCCACAAGGGGCAGCACAGCTCGGCATGTGGCAGTCCTGGAAGAGTGCGTGTTTGTTAGGTGTCAGCTGTCTGACACCTAACAGAAAGAGGAAACGAACGGGGCAGTTTGCAACCTGGGTCTGGACGACGCACTCAAGAGGGCAGACGGGCGGCCACTTCCATGACCCTTGCTATCTCCCCGATGCCCCTTCTCCGTTCTTTCCAGTCACAGCGCCCTTGAGCCTGGACACCCGGTCCAATCCGCGATTCCCGATCCTCCCGCCCGCCCAGGAGCCGGCCAGCTGCGTCCCCAAGCCCGCGCCTACCTCCCGGGGTGGTGCTGAAGAGTGTGCCGCCGGGGGTCGTGCTGTAGTCCCCGGGCGGGAGCTGCACGCCGTCGCCGAGCACCACCCGGCGAGTGGCGGGGATGGCCCGACTTGGGGTCTGGCTGCAGCTGCTGCCCCCGGACATGGTCTCCTGTGCGCTGCACCAGCGAACCTCTCGCTGCCCTCCCGCGCCTCCAGCCTCGCTCCGCCTAGCCGGGTCCCGCTCAGCCTCGCCCCGTCCCGCCCCGCCCCAGGACGCCCCTTCCGCCTCTCCCGCCCACGCCCCTGGGATTTGTAGTCCGCGCCGCAGCCCCACCCAGCTCCAGGACGTTGCTTCCACGTGGGATCCCCCGCAGCCCCCCGACCCACTCACGCCTGCTCACGGGCTCTTCCGCACGGGCGCCGGCGCCGCCCCGCAGCGACTGCCCCTCTGTCCTGTGTCCCTCCCCGCCACGTTGGCAGGGATGGGGGTGGGGGTGGTGGGCGGGATAGCTCGCCTAAATTAATCCTTGGCTGGGTTGGGGGCGGCGACTCAGGACCGCGCGGAGATCCGAGCTGACCCGGCCCACTGCAGGAAGGCCCGGTTTCTGCCTTAGTACATCAGGCCCGGTGTACCCTCCGGCACTCCCTGTTTCGTGCCTTAGTTCCTCAGATGAGAAAGTGGGGATTGAGTGGTCATGCTCACCCCCTCCCCCGCCTCAATTTCTTGACCTTGATGGGGGTGGGGATGGTGGGGCTAACAATTCTGTTCCCGGCCTTTAGACAGGGTGTGGGAGGAGGAGTGAACCAACCAGCGGCGTCCTGGGAGTTAAATTTAGAGCTAGGGGCGCGGGGGTAGGGGGAGAGGGAAGGGCGTAGGAGAGGGGTAAGAGTTTGTCAAAGAGGTTTCCCGATAACTCCTGAATTGGGTCCAACGCCCACCCCACTGCCTGAGATTTAGTAGGTACTCCTTGGATGGATGGATGGAGGGATGTTCAAGGGGAGAGAGAAAAATGCAAGAAGGACCGAGGATGGAAAAGCTTGTTGGGTTTGAGAAGTTCTTAGCATTGTGGGCACATGTTGTGGGGAAGAGGGTGAAGAAAGTTTAAAAGGGAAATTGGGTGGTGCACCTGTAATCCCCACTACTCAGGAAGCTGAGCTGGAGGATGCTTGAGCTCAGGAGTTTGAGGCTCCAGTGAGTGTGATCACACCACTGCACTCCACCCTTAGTGACAGAGACCCTATCTCTAAAAAATATATAATAATTTTTTAAAAAGGAAATTGGGGTCAGGTCATTGAGTTTTTCAAATCATGCCAAAGTGCTTGGACTTTGTCTTAGAAGGGCAGGAGAGATCAGAGATTTTTTTTTTTTTTTTTAAGGCTGGAGTGCAGTGGCGCGATCTTGGCTCACTGCAAGCTCTGCCTCCCGGGTTCACGCCATTCTCCTGCCTCAGCCTCCCGAGTAGCTGGGACTACAGGCGCCCGCCACTGCGCCCAGCTAATTTTTTGTATTTTTAGTAGAGATGGGATTTCACCGTGTTAGCCAGGATGGTGTTGGTGTCGATCTCCTAACCTCGTGATCCACCCGCCTCGGCCTCCCAAAGTGCTGGGATTACAGGCGTGAGTCACCGCGTCCAGCCCAGAGATCTTTTAAGCAGGGGGATGACATGATTTGAGTTGTTTTTTTTGAAAGATAACTAGTAGCCAGTGGAGTTTCAGGATGGGCCAAGGAGGGCAAGGCCTGAGATAGGGAGACCTGTTGAATTTGGTCTCACTTTTGAGGGAAACTTTAGGCCTACAGTGGCTTAAGACAGTAGCCGCCAGCTACAGGTGCACATTGAGCACTCCAAATGTGGCCAGTCCAAACTGTCACAAGTTTAACATACACACCATATTTCAAAGACTTAGCATGAAAAAAATAATGTAAAATGCCTGAATAATTTGTTTCTATATTGATTGTATGTTGAACTGATAATATTTTGAGTATATTGGGTTCAGAAAATTACATTAAAAAATTAATTTTGGGCCAGGTGCAGTGGCTTACGCCTGTAATCCCAACACTTTGGGAGGCCGAGGTGGGCAGATCACGAGGTCAAGAGATCGAGACCATCCTGGACAACATGGTGAAACCCTGTGTCTACTAAAAATACAAAAAAAATTAGCTGGGCATGGTGGTGCGTGCCTGTAGTTCCAGCTTACTCGGGAGGCTGAGGCAGGAGAATCGCTTGAACCTGGGAGGTGGAGGTTGCAGTGAGCCGAGATCACACCACTGCACTGCAGCCTGGTATCAGAGCAAGACTCCATCTCAAAAGAAAAAAAAAAATTAGGCCGGGCGCGGTGGCTCAAGCCTGTAATCCCAGCACTTTGGGAGGCCGAGACGGGCGGATCACGAGGTCAGGAGTTCGAGACCATCCTGGCTAACACGGTGAAACCCCGTCTCTACTAAAAAATACAAAAAACTAGCCGGGCGAGGTGGCGGGCGCCTGTAGTCCCGGCTACTCGGCAGGCTGAGGCAGGAGAATGGCGTAAAAACCCGGGAGGCAGAGCTTGCAGTGAGCTGAGATCCAGCCACTGCACTCCAGCCTGGGCGACACAGCGAGACTCCGTCTCAAAAAAAAAAAAAAGAAAAAAAAATTAATTTCGGCCAGGTGCGGTGGCTCACGCCTGTAATCCCAGCACTTTGGGAGGCCTAGGCGGGTGGATCATGAGGTCAGGAGTTCAAGACCAGCTTGCCAAGATGGTGAAACCCTGTCTCTACTAAAAATACAAACAACAACAACAAAAAGCCGGCCATAATGGCCGGCACCTGTAATCCCAGCTACTCAGGAGGCTGAGGCAGAGGTTGTAGTGAGCCGAGAACCACCACTGCACTCCTGCCTGGGCGACAGAGTAAGACGCTGTCTCAAAAAAAAAAAAAAAAAAAAGAAGGCCGGGCATGGTGGCTCACGCCTGTAATCCCAGCACTTTGGGAGGCCGAGGCGGGTGGATCACGAGGTCAGGAGATCGAGACCATCCTGGCTAACACGGTGAAACCCTGTCTCTACTAAAAATACAAAAAATTAGCCGGACGTGGTGGTGGGCGCCTGTAGTCCCAGCTACTCGGGAGGCTGAGGCAGGAGAATGGCGTGAACCCGGGAGGTGGAGCTTGCAGCGAGCCGAGATGGCGCCACTGCACTCCAGCCTGGGTGACAGAGCAAGACTCCGTCTCAAAAAAAAAAAAAAAAAAAGAAAAAGAAATTAATTTCGTCCAGGCTGTGGATCACACCTGTAATCCCAGTACATTTGGAGGCTGAAGTGATCAGAGTGCTTGGGCGCAGGAGTTTGAGACCAGCCTGGGCTACCTGGTGAAACCTTGTCTCTACAAAAAAATTTAAAAATTAGCCCAGTGTTGTGGCTCACACCTGTGGTCCCAGCTGCTTTCAAGGATGAGGTAGGAAGATGACCTGAGCCCCAGAGGTGGAGGTTGCCATGAGCCAAGATTGCACCACTGCACTCCAGCCGGGGCTCAAAAACAAAATAAATAAAATAAGAAAAAATAAAAATAGATCAGGTCTTGGTGGTTGGGATTACAAGGCCAGAGGATTGCTTGAGGCCTGAAGTTCAGAGACCAGCCTGGGCAACATAGCAAGACCTTGTTTCAAAAAAGAGAGAGTTACAGGTGGCTCACACCTGTAATCCCAACACTGAGAGGCCGAGGCGGTCAGATCACAAGGTCAGGAGACCGAGACCATCCTAGCTAACACGGTGAAACCCCGTCTCTACTAAAAATACAAAAAAAAAAAAAAAAAAAAATTACCCGGGCATGGTGGCAGACTCCTGTAGTCCCAGCTTCTCAGGAGGCTGAGGCAGGAGAATCACCTGAAACCGGGAGGCAGAAGTTGCAGTGGGCCGAGATCATGCCACTGCACTCCAGCCTGGGTGACAGAGCAAGATTTCGTCTCCCAAAGAAAAAAAAAAAAAGAGTTTCACTCTTGCCTGAGCTGGAGTGCAGTGGCTAATTATAGGCACAATCATAGCTCATTACAGCCTCCAATTCCTGGGCTCAAGCAATCCTCCCACCTCAGCCTCCCCAGCTGGGATTACAGGTGGGTGCCACTGCACCTGGCTAAGTAAAGAAAATAATTTTTTGGCTGGGTGAGGTGGCTCACGCCTGTAATCCCAGCAGTTTGGGAGGCTGAGTCAGACAGATCACCTGAGGTCAGGAGACCAGCCTGTCCAACATGGTGAAACCCTGTCTCTACTAAAAATACAAAAATTAGCCAGGCGTGGTGGTGTGCGCCTGTAATCCCAGCTACTCAGGAGACAGGAGAATCACTTGAACCCAGGAGGCATAGGTTGCAGTGAGCTAAGATCCTGCCACTACACTTTAGGCTGGGCAACAGCAAGACTCCATCTGAAAAAAAAAAAAATTTTTTTTTTTTTTTGTAGAGATGAGGTCTTGCTATGTTACCCAGGTTTGCCTCAAGCTCCTGGCCTCAAGTGATCCTCGGTCCTCAGCCTCTTAAAGTGTTGGGATTACAGGCATGAGCCACCATGACCGGGCCCTCTACCTTTTTCTAGAGCAGGAACTCATTCATATGGAAAAAACAGCTTTTACGTGAGGAATGGGAATCCTTTTAAATTATCAGACCTAGACATTAAAATGAGACAGCAATCACGTCCCACTACCTCCTTTTGAGCTATGTAGTCATCTCTTGAAACTGCTTGCTATCGTCACAAGTAGCCATAAATTAACCTATTAATAATAATGCTGCCCTAAAGATTATATAGGTTGTGGACCCTATAGCTTAACAGTGTATAGCCAAGGCTGGGTGCAGTGGCTTACTCCTGTGATTCCCACACTTTGGCAAGCCAAGGTGAGAGGATGGCTTGAGGCCAGGGGTTTGAGACCAGCCTGGGCAACAGAGAGACCCTCCCCCTTCATCTCTACAAAAAAATATTTAAAATGTGGCCAGGTGTTGTAGCTCATGCCTGTAATCCTAGCACTTTGCGAGGCTGAGGCAGGCAGATCACCTGAGGTCAGGAGTTTGAGACTATCCTGGCCAACATGGTGAAACCCTGTCTCTACTAAAAATACAAAAATTAGCCAGGTATGGTGGTATGCACCTGTAGTCCCAGCTACTAGGGAAGCTGAGACAGGAGAATTGATTGAACCTGGGTGGCAGAGGTTGCACTGAGCTGAGATCACACCACTGCACTCCAGCCTGGATGACAGAGTGACTCGTCTCAAAAATAAAATAAAATAAAATAAAAATTTAAAAATCAGTATATAGCAAATCATTAATTGATATTATTTCTGTAAACCAATGAGAATTCCTGACAGACCACTTTGTATCAGACCCTATTGCCTTAAACTTGTAACTTGTAAACTTGTAATTCCTGTTAATTGGAGTGTATATTCAGGACATGAATC